TGAAATACTGAATCTCTGAAGTCCTGACAGGACTGTCCTATTAGCCCAGTCTGTCGTCTGGTTGTCGTCCAAGATGCATGATCGACATGCCTCATCATTTCCCTATATAGGCTGCGCTGAAAAGTATCAGAGAGCGAGAGACTTGAATAGACTCTTGCGGTCGATTTCTAGGCTCAAGCGACATCTAGCGACAGTTTCCTTCTTTGATGGGCTGGCAGTAGTTGAAGAGCACTTGAACACTATTGCAGACTCACCTATATTGTCAGAAAATTCCCACAGGTTGGTGAGGAACAGGTAGAAACTGAGGTGTCAATGGCATCCCTGCGACTGCTGCGTTCATTTCTTAGGCTCATCCAAGCTCTGGGAGGCAGAGAATTCCTTCTGCCGTCCGACTCATAGCCAAGATTACACGACCGAGCAGAGTCCGAATGCGATGTCCAGCATGCTCCCTGGTGTCGAGAACTTCAACAAAACAAATGAGACTGCATTGCGACTTGACGGAGCCATGAGCTCTCTTATGAGCTTCTTCCGAAATGAAGGTATGCGATATTCGATAAATCCAAGGGTGAGAATTCCGAACATCTAGTAGTCGTAAATCTTGTTCTCCATATCATTTCTGCGATACTATCGGAGTTCTCATTGCGAGAATGTTCTGTTTCCAAAAAATCTTGTATTTAGGCTGTCATTCAAAGATTCCTCTAGCGCTGAGGCAAAACCTCTCTCCGGAGCGTTACTGGTTCAACTACCGTTCTCAAGACGATGTAGCAGCGTACATTTACGCCGCGTAAATGTACGCCGGTACAATTGTTGACGCGTAAATTACGCGTCAAACAATTTGTACGGCTGGTGTCGGAGATCCATGCAACCTTTTCAAACTCAATGAGTAGTAAACCCTATCGCGCTATCCGAATTGTCTTTCTCCCTTCAGACAGCTAACTGGCGAGTGCTTTCGGGCTCTCCTTGTGGCGTTCGCACAACCAGGGTTTGCCCTTTGGGCACGGGCGGAAATTTCCGAAGGAAATTTTCGAGAATATTTCAGAAATTTCCGTTGAGGCTGGAAATTCTTGGAAATTTGCTAAAATGCCCAAAAAATCGTGCCCAGGGTAATAGAGAGGAGAGAAGTAGTTCAGATTCATTCATAATGGCCGAATAAAGCTAGTGAAGGCGTTCGCAGGTGTCTACTGGTCACTATGAATACATCTTGCGGTTACCCTCAGATATCGATCAGGTGGGCGTGCGCGTGAGCCTCTCAAGAGTTAGCGATTCTCCAACTATCTTGCAATCTTGCGTTCTCTCTCGAGAGAGTCGAATAGTGTCGGCGTAGCTTCAGTTATTTTCACGGTTGGCGCTATCGACCTACTTGGCTGTAGTCCAGTGGACTAAGTCCACCATATCTTGCGTTCTATCGAGTACATCTTCGGCGGTAATCTTCGCATTCACACGTTAGCTGTAACTCGCACGAATTTGCGTCACTTTGGATAAGCAGCTTATCGTCCATGAGCTGCTTATCATAAGCTGCTGAGCCCCAGCATGATGGACGGTATCCGAGGTGGAGACCCATAGCCTATGGGTTTGGGCCCTATGGGCCATAGGGCGTAGACATCGATCACTTTCTCCCGTAATTCAGCATGATTATGGTGGATGAAAAACGAGATGAAATATCTCATTTCCCCTCTAAGAGCCCAAGCTTTTGCTCACGTTCGACCCAGAACAGTAGACTCAGCTACCTAGGATACAAACTGAAGCAGAACTCGGCCAGCCTCGGCCAGACTCGTATATCACCCTAAGATGACATGGCTACTATAGCGGGCCGAAGGGCCGCGATTTCTCTGGTTCAAACCACCCTATTTGGCATGACATACGTTGGGCCCGGAAGTGGCATACGTTGGGTCCGGTGGGCATACCTGGCTGATCGCATGTCTCGCGCGCCCGCATGGCGTGCGAGATTTACACGGAAATTTCCATTTCCACCGTTTTCGAAATTTTCCGTGATAAAATTTCCTTTCCGCGAAATTTTGACGCTTGCCCGCCCAAAGGGCAAACCCTGCGCACAACGTACGGCAACTAAAACGATCTGTACTACTTATAGTCCTGTACGATGACTATGCAGTGATGGCTGGCGGAAACGTTTTCTCATAGATGCATATTGATGTCAGTGACTCGTCAGACTCAGAAGCAAGCAGCACCCATCAGGTCGCGAGGCTTCGCTCTGTCCGGTTCTTGATCGGTGGGGAAAACCATGACAATAATGATGTCGATGACTGACGTAGTTCAAATGCATCGTTGAAACTCATCACCATAATGAACGTGATGGAACGATCCGAGTTATACAACACAATCGAGGTCATTACAGGCTGAAGCCAGTCGGCCCAAAGTTCCATCTGGATCTCCCATAATGGGAGTCCATAATGAAAACATCTTCCAATGGGAGTCCCATTGGAAGATGTTTTCATCAATAAGTTACCGGCGATAATACACACGGTTCATAGACATGTACTGATCAGACTCTCGGCATCAACCCCAGAGTCAAGTCTAAAATAGTAAGCAAAATGAAAGCTGGGAGGAATGCCAAGAGCGAAAATACGAGCGATAGGATGAGCAGGTATGAATGATTCATAATGAATCGAGAATTTAGTAAATTCTTGATTCATACCTGCTGAATTCAATTCACACTAGCAACTTTGACGGACGAACAAATAGTTTCTGAGATGATGGGAACGATCCTTCTACGAACGATCTTGGGTGCGACTGACATCCTCACTGACAATCCCCACGGTGGGCCCTGACAATAGGCTTGATTCGTTAGCCTGGTGGGCCCGGCCCACTGGGCCGCCCACCAGGCTCTATGGATCCCGATCAGCTCAGCGTTTCTTGTGAGTGCCCTCGTATACTCACTGTTACCGTTACATTCACCACCGCCACTCTAGGCCCATCAACCGAGCGAAGCGCCCAGTCACCGTCAGCTGAACCGTCTATAGTTCTTACTTGATCAGATATTTGAAGAGCGTCAAAGACCACTGTTCTTCAAAGTGTTTCAATATTGACGCTTGCTACGTGCTGTGCTCGCTGTAAATGGGGAAATAAGAGTGTACAGTTTTTGTTTTGTTCGTCACCTAAGAGGACGGAATGCCGAGATGTAGAGAATATCGCGTTAGGATCTTGTAAGAGCCGACTCAATATCGGAGGAGAGAGTGACGGAAATGCACCCAAAGAGAACTCTACACTCCAGTAACCTCCGATATTTCTCTGCGATCATTCACTGACGGTTCGCTCTTCGACAGTGTAACCGTTAACACAATCCGCTCGACTCGAGGGATGAATAACTTATTCTTACGTTACTTATAGTATTATAGAATATATGAATATCTAGCACAGCTTAGCTCAAGGACAGTTGTACCACAAATGGGACAGTGACACAAGTCCTTACATCCGCCCCCTCTTCTCATGGAAAGATACCCATACATCAGTATAACGCCTGACTTATGAATAACGCACTGGTCTTCTATCTTTAGATCTATCACGTGGAGCATATCGACCAACATACGTAGCACGTTCTAGGGGATCGGACTTGACAGTCAAGTCTTGACTTCAACAGTAACTACTTTGTATCAACTTCAGTTGATACATCAGCTTCGGGAGTCTTCAACAAAGAAATATCTGGAGTTGTATTTAATGATGTCACACCAACATCAGGATTATCATCTACCAACCATAGACCATCATCGTCTACAATATTATCTCCTTCTACAACTTCAGTAGGAATAAGTACCAATCTATCAATATGAACTCGACGAGGAGAATGTTTTGAATGATTGATCAATACCACCGGGTCATCAATCTCTTCAACTTTCCACCCCAGTTCATAATTCGGTGTCAGCACATACTGATTCAGCATGTGGTAGACTACCACCGGGAGTAGGCCTGGCTGGAGATGCCAGAAGTCAGCAATGCAGAACTTCTGCTGACATTGCTGACATCAGTCGATCAAGAGATGACACACTGAAACTCAGAGAATCAGCCATTGTGATTGATGCGGCGACTACACTTTCTCCCGTGCAAACTTGACAACCGCATAGACAACAATGTCAGTGGCACATCCGAGAATGACATCAGGTACTCGTGTTCGGCATGAGTGGGAAATTTCGGATCCAAGATTGACAATACACATCCAAATTCGACACCCCTTGGTTTATTATGTCCAACATTGACACTAACCAGGGGCTTAGTTCTTGGCTTTCGGGAGTGTAGTCTACGGTGTGTATAATTTGTTTGCATCGGTTTGACTCATTTTCTGACTAAATTGCTGCCGTACAAGCTCAGCAAAATGCTCAACGCTTCAAGACTACGTCATCTACTGTTGTAGTGGAAAAAAGAGCTCCCGGTCTGCCTCGTGAACTTGCTCAACCGCTATTACCAAGTCCAGATGGTAATTAACATCGGTAAGATTGATATCATGATCCCAATCCCTCTATCTTCGGAAAGCCTGTGCCGAATAAACAACACTCTTATCAGAGAGGCTCGCATTTGTTACTCAATGAGCACAGGCTTAACCAAAAGACTGAGCTGATAGGCCTGAACTGGTGGGGTACAATACGCCAACTCACTTGTGGTAGATAAGTTCCACGTGAACTTGGTGAGTATCCTCACCAAACTCCAGACCAACTCTGCTAATTCTGTCTTGGACTTCGAATATGGGGCTGTACACAAAAATCGACCCAAGCCACCATCAACTGCCCTCTAGTTTTCTCTCCGATCAGATGCACATTCAACTTCGACTCTCACATGCATCGTTGACTTGTACTCGTACATCCATATCAGTCTGCGATGGAAACCGTTAGTGCACTCCGCTAGGCGGTATCTTCCCAACTACAAGAGGAGATAAACTGGCCCAGAGACTGTGAGACGCAAGGACATACATCCCGTGACTACTACCTAGTTAGAGCCAGCAACTCTCAGCGCAACAAAGGTCGACAGCTTCAGAGACCATTTCTAGTTTACATAAGAGAATCGAAAGATGACCTAGGCCGAAGGATAGCAATATGTGGTCACACTATCTAATGACAGGAAACTATGTACATGTGACATCAAGAAACCACGCGGACCATGGGACCAGTATGTTTTGAGGTTGTATCCTCACAAAACAGTTATATTTACGGAACGAATGGTTGGTACTCGAAGCTACTGAGATATCAAAGCTATCAACAGGCTCCTTCGAGCACATGATACAACCGCAAATGCGAGCCGCAAGTATGAGTTGTACGCTAGCAGCAGATGGTGGGAAATGAGATTATAATACAGTTTAGAGTACCCTACTACAAGTAGCAACCCATGATGCCAAGTGGCCCACCACTCCATGAAATACTAGGCTAGATTCAGCGGTCAAAGTTCAGAGCTCTAAGTCTAACCCGCGCACAGCATCAAAATCTACTCACTATAACTAATCGGAGACTAAGATGCGATGCGCAAGTGTGTGACGCGAAGAAGATTAGATAAGGGCACGGGACGGAAAAAAGTAACGGTTGTACCGATGCCGAGTACAAATAAGGTTTCCGAGCCTTTACAATGACAAGGTCAAGCAGAAAAGGAGAAAGTTACAACTCTCGATAGCTGACGGTACTTCCACACAGGCATGTCCATCCTACTAGTAGTCCTCCATGTCAACTGCCTCTTCGAAACCAAAACGAGCGGGGCGGAGTTTGACAGCTGGTCGGCATGGCTCATGCGTACTCGGAGAAGTTTCGAATGATCCAACGCTACCACTAGCAACGGAGTCAACTGCGCCAACTCTCTTGCGGTTGCCTGGAGTTCTTGCAGGAGGATGGCTCATGCGTTGGGCGAAGATGAGCAATTCTTCGATGGATTCAAACTCTCTCACGGAGCCAAACCTCGTACTATCCAAGTCAGAGCAACCATCGAACGTCTTAGTCAAAATCTTCGTCTTAAGCACCTCGCCGACAGGCGAGCTGAGGTGATAGAAAGAAATGTCTTTCTCGTTCTCGAAGGACACACTCCGAGAGAAACCGTCTCCGTCATCCTTGTCGGAGTTATCAATGGCAGAATGCCTGACCGTAGTGTCAGCTGACAGCGACGAGCACATGCGCTGATTTCTGACGGCATTGAAAGAAGCCCTTCGTAGCCAATCGTCCTCGTCCTTCGGAGTAGGATCGGATGGACTCGCTGATGACGAACCCATCTTCATGGATGGCGAGCTTATAGAAACAGAGGCGAATATTGGCAAGCGAAGGCGGGAAGACCCATCGCTCTCGAGTACACCAGACTCTACAGGAACTCTATCCGTGGTGTGGCTCACAGTCTCTACTGCGGATGTTGATGTCTCCTGTACAAATCGCCGAGGAGGTAGAGGTAGAAAAAGCATTGATGAAAAAATCGGGCTGAAAGTCTCAAGAAAGCTGTAGATCTGGAACCTCCCGACGGAACGCTACTCTGAAGAGTGCAGACTGTGCAAGATTCTGTACCGCCGTAGCCCAAAAATGCCTCCTCACCGTAGCGAAACTCAGCATTCTCATCATATCCATGAAATAGAATCAAACCCACTCAGCGCGTTTATTCAAATACCGGAAACCATTCATAACCCAATGAAATCGCTGGGTTCAAAGCGATCATACTCATGGGGCACGAATAGCCTATCATGGTTTCGGTGCTACGGCTCTTCGAACCAGACATAAGAGAATATTCGAGGCACTTGAACTTCAAGTCTTCGAGCACTAAGGGGCTATTCCGGCTCACCAACCGTTAATCTTGACGCAGGGTTATCAAAGATGAGGTTACTTCCTTCATAATAGCTGGAAAAACTGCATAAGGCTGAGTCACGATTCGTGACTCATGAACAGAGGAGCTGCGGAAACACACGCTAAGATAGTGACAACCCCGTCACGAGCTCAGCTGCGGTACCCAGTCTAAGAGGGTGTGAGCTGTGATGAATGTGCTGTCATGGAACTCAAGGACACTGCAGAAGCGAGTCACTATTTATGCAGCAGATTATCGCGGATGGGTCTTGGAGAGGATCTTTTGTGGGTGTGAGGTTTACCCACAAGCACCGGATGCAAATCCTAGATACTCGTCGAAGTGCTCGAGAGCTGGTTATCCCAATTCATGGCTCTAGCCTCAGTAAAAGGGTGAAATTGAACGGGCTGTATGAAATAGACCAGTCTCCTATCAGTCCCCAGCTTAGCTCAAATCGGGGTTCGGACCGATGACACAGCGAATCGAACCGCAATTATGGTAAGAATCATTTTCCATACCGGATATCTGCGGACCTAGAGTGTTCCACTAAACTGAAACATCAACAGTGTGATACGCTATTCGATCCTCCAACGCCAAGCCTGTCTCAATCAAGTCAGACCACCTGCAACAGAATTGCAGGTGACTGCGTCTCGATACTGTTCAATGCCAAGTCGAGAGAATACTGGTAATCCAGTCATTCTACCAGTTGACTCCACCTCACCAACTAGAGGACTGGATGACTTCCTTGGAAGGCCATGCTGGTAATCCAGTCATTCTACCAGTTGACTCCACCTCACCAACTAGAGGACTGGATGACTTCCTTGGAAGGCCATGCTGGTAATCCAGTCATTCTACCAGTTGACTCCACCTCACCAACTAGAGGACTGGATGACTTCCTTGAAAGGCCATGCTGGTAATCCCGGTCATTCTACCAGTTGACTCCACCTCACCAGCTAGAGGACTGGATGCCTTCCTTGAAAGGCCATGCTGGTAATCCCGTCATTCTACCAGTTGACTCACTCACCAGCTAGAGGACTGGATGCCTTCCTTGGAAGGTGTGGGCTCCGCGAGATACAAATTCGTTGGTGTCAATGGTGAACCTAGACTGAAAAGCATTGTTGCGAAGAGCCCACTTCAGAGAACGCACGCATTCTTATTCCAGTATGATAGTGTAATTCAGTCATAACTGAGAAAGACTATCTGTTCGCTCCTCCGCTCCCGAATAGCATAAACCATACGGGGACAAGACGAAAGGAGTCACCGCGAGAGCCACGCCGCAGTACACCATCATGAACTGAAATATACTAATATCCTTACTCGCACAGCTGCATTGAGTCTTCAGAGCCCACAAGATTATCGCTTCCAATACGCTGATAGGGCGCCACATCAACTCTTGTATCGCCATCACAGCAAATTGAGAACCTTACTGAAAAAGTAAATTGGAGATATGCACAATTACTCCACTCCTCGGAGCGACCATGACTTTTCTGCGCTTCGCGTCAGATGCCTCGCTTGGAGAGCAGTCAACGTTACTTCAAACGAGTTTTCAGCTTGATTTAAGCAAATGTGATGACAATGCGGCGGAGATCAATTGTGCAATGCTAGACAGCGAGAAATCCGGAACTTGATCGCATCGCTCCGCGAGTTTCTTGCGTAAACTCGGTGGTGTACACGAAGGATAACTCAACAACATTCAAGTGTTCCTAATAGGAACTTCCTGTTCCTAAACGAGAAATTTTGCCAAACAGACTCTCAATCTATAACACATAATCACAAACAACATGTCAAATTGAACCAGAAATTTCAAATCCATTGACGTCTAACTTAGCTTGGGTGCTGTAACATATCCATATTTCGCTGAGCTTGTGATTCATACCCCGCTCGCCTTTATGCAACTCGCATGAATCGTGCATGTCCATGGAGGTTTATTACGTTGTAACACTCATCACTCATCATTGTGGCTATAGTGACCGTCACTGTAGCCAGGGAATTGAAGAGGATCTTACTATGGGAACTACAGTTGATGGTAGTTGTGGGGATGAGTGATAGAGACTCTCGTAGAGCTCAAGTAGATGTTTTCTCAGCGCTTCCGCACGGAATATGATCTCACTGGTTGGGTTTGGTTTCCGCCGGGAGGATGTAGGATTGTTTTTGGGGTAGGCGTAAGGTATAAGGGTATAAGTCTGGCTCCCTGATATGAGGGAACCAGCCTCGGAAGTAGGCTGGTTCCTACAGTTGGAATTTATGACTCCTTTGGGAATCACTGTAGCGTCTACTAGGCGGATCTCGACTAAGGAAGGCTGACTTGGTGACATGTTAAAGGTTCTATCGCTCACCTCATCAATCACTAAGTGAATCGTTTATCGCTCACCAAGCGAGATTCCGAGACACGCTCATCCTCATTCATTTCCAGCTGAATGCTCTTGTCCTCTTCGGGGTTTCACGGGATATTCTTTGGTGTAGCTCATGCTTTTCTCATTCTTTTCTTCCACCTGTCCGTGTGCTCAGGAATATTTCAATCTAACTCAGCTTTCTTCTTTGACCTTCACCCTTGCGTTACAGTGCTCAAGCTGTACCGACGTGGGAACGTGTTCGGGCTCTCGTTATGAGATCGAATAACTCTACTCATGACCCTTGCAGAGTCATACATTCCTCATGGCTCAATCGTCACCTGCTGCCGATATGAATGATGTCCCCGGTGAAGGAGGGGAACCAGCAGCTCCCGCACTCATAACGCAGGTACTACAATGCGGGTCCGTATCGGAATGCTCAGCTATGATTGGTGATCAGGTGGAAGGGGTTTTCATGACGAGGTTGCCTGAGGAATATCATATCCCTGAAGACCCTATTGTTCTGGAAGGCGACCTCTCCCGTTCCGGTAAGGGGTTTCAGTCGAACTTGTTCTCTTCTATGAAGACTCTGTGCAGGTCTATCTGCCATGCTCAATGACTTGCTCTCATTCCAAGAGCCAGTGGTGTTTGACTTCATCATTAACGGACAGTTCTTGCGGACTAGCCTCGCAGATTTCTACAAGCAATACGGCCTCTCTAGCGAAGTTGCATGCAACATAGAGTAGTTTGTATATTATTCTCATTCTTGAAGTTATGTCCTACGATATAGGTATGTTTTGGCGATGCCAGAGCCCGAGACCGCTGAGGTTACTCAAGAGGATGAGTGGCTTTCCTGCATTGAACTCCTTGAGGGTACACAGTCGGGGGTCTATGCTACTGGATCGATGAAAGGTGATACTAGCTAACCGTGACATATTGTTATATGTGGCTCTGTATATTCGAGGCTCGTGGAGTCTATACACATCTGAGGGTCATCGCAAGCTCTTCGGGCAGCGCGACTCGGACACTTCGGTCTTGGCACTTGCTGGACGCGAGGACACTGTGGTTACTGGTGAGCTAGTTCTGCTCTATCACTCAATGAAGGTGATGTGTCTTGGATGTAGGTAGTCGGGATGGACTGGTTCGATTTTATGCTCTCGATGAGAGCGGCAAGCCTCCGGCGCTCGTCTCGAGTGCAAACAATGGGATTAAGGGAGGGTACGCTCTTCCCGGTGGGAGTTGGTAGGAAGTCGGTTTCTCTTCATCAGAGTCGCAGCGGTGACAGCACTCACAATCTCTTCTGATGGAAGCATAGTCGTTGCTGGCGATGCTGGTGGACTCCTCGCCTTATATAATGTTCCCTCTGGTGAGGTCGATTGACCCGGGGGATCTTGTCTTATGAGTGTATACTTCCCTCTCAGAGTCGTCCCGTGACGTTGCCGGTCCGCGGGTAGTCTTTGCCGATCACCACATGGAGGCTTGCGGTGTTACGAGGTAGGCGTCGCTGATAGGTCTCTATCTGTGGCTATTATTGTTTCACAGGCTGGTGAAGGTCAACACAGAAACTGTTATGTCAGCGTCTTTGGACAGCACTCTTGCGCTATGGGATATCTTGGCTGCCAAGCGGCATGCAGTTCTTCCTTGCGGGAGGTGAGGAAATACGGCCGTTTGAGGGTTTTGCGTCAAAAAGAGCACAGCTCGCCCGTATTTATCGTTAGGGGTGCTGCGTACTTTGGAGAAAATCCTATATTTACTTGTTACTGCGACCTTCATTATTGGTAATTCAGGGCGGCAACTGCTCTGGCCATCTCATCGAACAGATCAGGAGTTTGTACAGGCCACGATGATGGCCGTGTTGCATATTGGGATTTACGCTCTTCCAAGGATGAGCTTGAACTCACTCAGCAGTACAGAACCCATGAGCGTTCAATAACAGGGGTAAGTAGGCATATTTAGAATCGTGCTATGCTGCAACAAATCCGGACGCTTATTCTCACGATTTACTCAGGTTTCGTGGAATCCGAGGAGTGACTATCTAGTGGCCACGAGCTCTCTCGACGGGACCGTCAGGCTCTATGACTCACGATCGGCTCGATTGCCGCTACAGAGATGCGATCTGCCTCAAGACACCGCGGTGACCGGCTGCACTTGGTGCAATGATAAGGTACTCGCTCTTGCCGCCCCCGCAGCTGATCACATTAGAGCTGTTTTTTTCTCTCAGATTATCCTCTCCTCGGGTTCAGATGGTAAGGTCCGAACTCATATGATCAAGCCTTCGCTAGTTGAGTGATCATGCTGAGGCCGATTGGTGTCACAACGTCATTTACACGTACATTCCTGGAATACCGAAAAAGTTTCTTGCCAACGATTGGTTCACTTAGTCGCTTCAATGACACCGGTGACTGAAGGAGTTGGATCTTTGACTCAGCATGGAAACAACCACATTTAGCGATTTCGAGTGCAAATTTGACGATACAGGCGTTATTGTCCTGGACACGGGTTGAGTCAGCTACGACGTTCCAGAGCGAGTAATTCCGAGTGCGCCCTCCAGTGTTCCTTGACTCGAGGAAGTATGATTCCCGAGCTCACACGTAATCTCAGCAGTTGCGGTGATCATCGTGAAGCTCTCAAAGCATACAAATCAGGTCATGTTCGAGAACTCCGGCTGCTGTTGTTATGGATATGGCTGCCTTGTCATTGCTTTCGACAGGCGCACCCACGGGAGTGGTCGTCGGCATCGACCTTGTGTGATTGATCTTCCGCCTATTCCATGAAGATCACTTACGTCATCGTAAAACGATGCGCTATTTCCCATGCGACTTCGTGCTTGGAAAAACTGGTAATAATACTTGCTGCTTGAGCATCCACATGTATAAATCCACAGGCATACACATAACTCAGCATCTCGAGAAGCTTATATCCCACCGCCAACCCACTGTCGCGTCAAGAGATGCCGGGGTCGCGGAGTGGGGTCGTGAATATTTCATATACGCTGATATGAGAGGAAGATTCTGTCGAGGGAGCTAACTGCTTGCTGACAGCGTCAGGTGACCACGCTGACTGCAGAAGAGTACTAGGCAGATAGGGATAACCTTTGGAGTATTAGCGTGGAAGCCGTTCCGAAAAGATCTTCATGGTCAAACATTCAGCATGGTTGGTACAAAAATTGTAAACGTGTAGCGTTTTAGTTCGCAGGCGATTAAGCTATTTCATTGGGGCGACTATCACGCGAGCGATACTAGTTGCAACTTAGTGCATAAGTTGAAAGATTCGCTCATCAAGGCCAGAGATGAATTAGCGACATGGGGGACGCGAATACCTACCAGAAAACATACAAATCAGGATATGTGTACGTCCGAGTCTCTAACCCAGGTTGTAGGTAAGTTCCCGCTCCAGCTCATATGTGGTGGAGTTGACTCGTGAGAGCTTAAGGTCTTCGTAGTCATGTGGAAACCATGTAGAGACCCTTACTCTGGAGCTTGAAACTCCGCACCCTCCGTCAACCTTCCCTCCTCCCTGTACGACTAGATCACCAGCAATGTTTGCTGAACGACAGGTCATTCGGCGGTGACACTGTATCTGTCCTAGCTGAGCGAATTTGGCTAAATAACAAACAATAGGACTTCCTCTTATCGAACTTATCCATGACGTAAGCGTTCTGCATCGACTCTTCAGATTCCCTATCATTGATGCACTTGACCAATTCGAAGCTCGGCACATTAAATAATCAACATGATATTACAGTTATTACAAATCGGAGTTGAAGAGAATGCAGTTGCTGCAGGCTTCGCAGAATTGTTATAATGTACGTTTTGAACACTGAAGTCAGTGAATCAGTCAGAATGATCACTCAGTCAGAAGTCCATGGGATCCAGGCGCTCGAGTAGGTCCTCGAGACGAGAGTGACACCTATGGAAGCGCATCCGGCCACAACGAACGAACGAACGATATTTAAATTGGTCATCGTAGTAAGTGGGACCGGTCATAATTTCATGACGGCCCCTTATTGATGAACGGGTTCGGATTGATTGAGCTACCTTCGAACATCTTGATTGGTTCAAAGTACACGGTCAAACGGGAATGTCTAGCATCTAGAACTTACCTCCCGGCTTCCTGAAGACCTCTACGCATCCCCATGTAGTATGCCAGTATCATGAGACTACATATCAAAACAACTAAGAGAGCGAAGATGGCGCTCCAAGAGAGAGTTCGCAATTGCACGAGGCGTGGTCGTCTGGAAGGGGCGTCGTGTTCACACTTGATGATGCTCATGACTACCTCTGAATATCCACACTCGGTGTGGACACGTTCGTCATCGAGAGCTGTTTCCCCGATGCCTGAAAAGCTCAAGCGTCGGCTGCACTGGGCCGCGGATGATATCGTACGTTGGTTTCGCTCACATCATCACGAGCTGGATGAGCGGAGTAGCCAGACTTGCATTTTTCCGTTCTGTGTCGATACCCAATCCTCGCAGTACTGCTAGAGGGTTCGACATCGTGCGTCATAATGTGTGGTTCCGAGCTCCAATCTAGATCAAATGCACTCTCGTACCTGTATCAGGAGCGAGACTTCAACTTTATGTAGAAACAATGACACTACATTGTATGTATCCCACCGTACGGCTCCTCGTAAAGATCTGATTCCGAAATGGCGTGTGAATACCTATCAACAGAGGGTACTTACTGCCTCTCCTACGAAGCCGCCGTGATTTGCTCGGGGACGGCGTTTGATCCTCACTATCAGAAAACATCTGGAATGCACAATTAATCAAGCCAATGGACTCCGGGTTGTGTTCTTACCTCGCTCTCGCTGCTAGAGTCGGCAGCGCAGAGGGATATCCGTCTAGCAGACCCAATCCATGGATCTACTGGCGTTGTCCGCGAGCCTGGAGTGCGTGCACCTCGTAGAATAAGCAAAGATTCCGCATGTCTACTTTTGGCTTGGATCTCTCGACCGACTTCAGTATTCGATTTGAAGTCCTTTGTGACACACGTGTTGATGGGAACCCAACAAATGGATCCCAAAGCTACTTCATTGACTACCCTGGAGGTCAGTCCCTGCCGTGATTATCAACTGCTAATCGATATTCGACTATTGACTCAGAACCAATTCATGCGCATACACCACATGCTGAATGCGAGTGCGCACGAGCTACTCATCACCGTACTTCTAGAAAATGCTTATTCGATCATGCGACTCACCTTCGCTACGAGTCAGCCGCGGACTGCTGTCCTTGAACATTTCATCAAGACTGTTGCGCACTACCGAACTCCGTCGAAGAAACTCCCTCGTCGTCGCACACGAGTCAATGGTGCCGAGTCCGCCCCTGCCAATCCTCGTTTCAATCTTGGCAACTTTAGTTCGTACCTGCATCCCCACACTATGATTTGTCGAACTCCAGCTCATGGAGCGAATGTAAGCTCCCAGCGAGTCTACCGTGTCAACTGCATCTTCAGCCGTGGAGCCGAGGCTATCTGCATCGTTCCCTGCTCGAAGCCTTGCTGCATTCGGTGTACTTTGGATGTAAGTGCTGAGGTCAACATTACCCAACCTGGACCGTGTCACTGACATGAAATGGGGATCACAGATGCGTTCCTCAAGTACACGTACTCGATTCAGCCTTCTCGGGAGTTTCCAATAATCGCTGGTCATCGTGCAAGGTCTCGTCTAGCATGCCGATTTGCTAACTCGCATCCAGTCTTGCACAGGGAACTGACGATTATGCGCGGCGGATTATTCCCCAACTTCGGAATATTTCGCGCATGCTGAATAACCGCTCGTAACGGATATAGTCGATTGCAACTCATTCTTCTTCCCTCACGGAAAGCCAGCTGTGACGTATTTTGACGTATTTACTAGAGTATTGAGATCGTGAAGCACGTAGCATTATTGGGCGTGCGCTTTTCCTTATATAGCGAATCGTATGGTTCTTAGAACCTACGTTTCTCGCTGTAAGTCTCTAGTATTGAGGTTCCGTAGCCATCTTGGCTTAGTGTCGTATTATTGGTCACCGCATGTCGGCGAGGAGTTCCTCAACACCGGCGGAGAGTTATGCGACACCAGCCTTGATGTCGAGTTAAAAATCACGGCTAGTTTCTCATGAGAGACACCCCACGAAAAGCTTCCTTCAAAACGAGCAGTAAGTACAAGTTTAAACGAAGCTGAAGCAGGTGGTTGTTGCTGACAAAATCCCACCTTCTATATGTGAGCCCGTAGAATGGGTCTCGTCTATAATACCAGGAGCTGACTGAGCAAGAGATGGCCTAGTACGTCATCTTTATGAATTCAAGAATGTGTTTCGGTCTAGTGTGATGGTGTCATGGCTTCAAATTCTCATGCAGCACTAACGCCACAGTATGCCGCTCAGATATTCATTGCCATGTAGGATTGCTTGCGGCTTGCGGAGAAAGCACTCGCCTCTGGCGCGGGCCCAGCGTTGAACTCGTGGCATAGGTTTCTCACCAGCGGAAGAGAGAACGGGAAGAGATGTACTCCCAACTTCCCCCGGAGAATGTCCGAAAGAGCAAGCAATAGATGTCCAGTTGAATATGGTGTCCAGTATTCCATCGCCCGTCAAGGAGTTTTGACATACGTTTCTACCAGCATGCCTCTGCTTTGGCGTTAGTAACTCAACTCTGCTCGCCCGAGACTCAGTGCCTTCTTTCCAGCTGTCACACACTTGCTCGACCATGTCACTATCTTCCTCGGATTCGGAGTTCGCAGCCTCAACACCCATGGAGATAATCATTGTTCCTC